TAACTTTATAATAGATTCACAGATTGAGAGAATTTGAGAGATGATGGGAAACTTGGAAGCTTTCTGATCAAGCTATCTCTTCATATAAATGATAAAACCGAGTTTCAGAGAGAAGAAACAATTTGCGAAGGATATGGGAATAAAACCAGGATTCATTCCAGGGACCTGGCATTTAGTCAACATGGTCATACTGAATCATCACCCAGTCAGTCCTACTGTTGTGAAGCTAGATGGATCAGATGGATGAGCTTAGATTGCAGTTGAATTTACTGTGATTTTCATTATTACTTGAATTGACTTGACTTTTGTCAACTCATTTGTAGAGGCGTAGGCAGAAGATGGATTTCTAAATATGGACACCATCAGCAGAGGGCAGTAGGTCAGGTGCTGAAGCTCACTGGCTATTGGCTGGGAGCCGGAGGTACTGAGTCTCCCGAGTCAGGAGAAAACGCTTTGCCTCCACAGTAGAAGGTATCTGTCAGAATTTTGAGAGCAGTCAAAATAACCAGAATCCAACTAAAGGAAGCACACGTTATGGGTTGGAAAATCAACAAGTTGATAAAAGAATTGGGCCAGGATACCGACAACCTTTCAAACAAGGGGTGTACTAAGATCAGTTCTGAAGCAGGAAGAGAATTGCAACCAAGAACTCAAGTCAAAGGACATCAAAAAGCAAATTTTGTTTGAGTTACAGTAATATCTTGAAGCCCCTTCTTTTTCTGCATTTTGTTTTCAATAGCTTCAGAACCCTCTTGGTGGAAAAAATTGTGTTTCCAGAACTCTATTTTTAAATCTATTGGTTCGGTCTGTCTTTCAAATCTTATTGTCTGGACAACTCAGATTTATGCTGGGGAATGTTAGTGAGGGTGAAGCTTATCATAGGTTGCTGGGCAGGAAGACTCATCTTAAAAGATTTCTCAGAAACGTGCTTTGCATCTACCCTAATGGAAGACTCCCCAACAACAGGCCTGCAAAGGGTGATACCAAGATTACTTAGCTCAGTCCTTTGCTGATTGACTAAAAGAGGAGAGTGCTGACTTCAGTGAGGGAGAGATAAAAATATTTACAGATGATTGAGTTAACAGCTAAGAAGTATCATTCTAGACAATGATCAGAAAAACCAGCTTTCCAAAACCCATAGAGCAGCACTAACCCTTGGCCAAGAATCGGTGTTCCAAATCTACTGTCTGATTTTACTCTGGAAGGAGAAATAATAATCAATTCATCCACTTTGGATTCGATTTGGCAGCACACATATTTATAAAAAAGAAAGTAGATTTGATTAATCAATAGCTTGAAAGTTTGTCCTTGGGCAAAGATCTCAAGAAGATCATTAAAGAGATGGATTTTAAGGCTTCAGAGGCAATGATGGTTCTACAGAGTAAACTGATCAAGCTGGATTAACTTCTTTTCAACAAGGTTGATAGACATGCCCACTGTGTTTGAGCTCCATTTTTTTTCTAATGAGAAGATGAAGGAGTCATGCAAGGCATTTTGGCAGGATCTAATTCCAGAGCAGGCTGTGGAGACAGTGGTTACTGATGATACTGTCAAATGGACAAGAGTTAATGAAGAGCCACAATTAGAGAGGATGGGTTAAGGGCTGGATGGAACCAAGCATTGCCCATGCTGCTCCTCATGGTGGGTTAGTATTTTGTGCTAGAAAATGCATTAGAGCAATGCTGTGCATGGCGATTTGGGAAGGTTGCTTAATACAGAACTAGGGGAATCAGTATCTGAGACCTCTCAAGTCTGAAACTGTAAGCAATATTGGAAATAAATGTAACAGGGAAATACTTAAAGTGCATACACATGGAATAATGGTGAGCAGGGGGATATCCAAGGTGGGAGGTGGGACTCATATGTCTACAGTAGCACACAGTAGTTCCCAATAATTAATCCAGAGGTCAAGGTGACTGGGCCAGGGGTGCACAGATGACTGATTAAACACCAGTGCTGAAGGTTTCTAAGTGAGGTTAACATCTGATTCAGTAGACCGAGTAATGTACGTTTCCCTTCCCAGTGTGACTGAGCCTATCCTATCCACTGCTGGATGAATGAAAGGCCAAGTAAGAAAGGTTGTTTTTTTGCCCTTTGAGGTGGGAGGTCATTATGCTCAGTCTTAGACTCATATGGACTTTCACTGACGGCTCCCCCGGTACTGTGATTCAGATTTACATCAATGACTCTTCATTCAGGACTTCAGCCTCAGATGTCTGTACGTATTTGCCTTTTTTTGGTCTGAGTTTTCCAGCCTCCACACTCATGGAAACCTATTCTTTCAGCCAGTGTATGTCACTGACTCTGTATTCACACAATCACAGACACAGGCATACACACAAAGACATACACAGATGCACATACAACCATTGCTTCTATTTCTTTGCAGAATGCTAAATAAAAAAAACAACAACAACCAGACATCCATTTCTCCTCAAAAAAGAAGTGGAGGATTTTGGGAGGGACTTTTAAAACTTGGTATAAGTCATTAGAGTACCAAAATATTAAAAATAATCTTGTATCCCAAGCAAGCAAGAGAGTTCTTATGACTTGATAGGAAATGATCCCAAGAGACTGATAGATTGAAGGATTCCTGCCCAGCTGGTGGCACCATTAAGACGAAACTGTATCATGAGTCCATTAGTTCATTGTTAAATTCATAGCTGAACTGGATTTTAGTAGATGAGACCCTCTTGAAGGAAGTAGGTCACCAGCAACATGCCTTTGAAGGATATATCTCACCTGGACTCTCTCCCCCTCCACATCTGTCCTCTGGACTCTCCCCCCCCCACTCCACATCTGTCCTCTGGACTCTCCCCCCACTCCACATCTGTCCTCTATCCACCATGGTATGGCTCTCTTTCCTCTGCCATATATGTGACCAGGTGTGATGGATTTTCCACCTCACCATTGGTTTGGTCCAGCGCTCAGCCAAGTGAATGTGGACTGAAACCTGAAACACCGGAGCAAGATAAACCATTTCTCTTTGTTGTTTTCCTTGGGTGTTTTGTCTCAGTGATGGAAAGTTGATGACAACAGTGATAATCTATAGAATTACTCTTATCATGCCCCAAGTAGCATGCTCGTTTTGGGTTATCTCAACAGAAGGCATAAGGACCAAGCAGAAGAAAGGCCAGAAGAGAAGCACCATGGAGCAGATGCATCAAAAGACATGCACTGAAAAATTACCAAAAGGACACCAGGGGAGATAGTTCAGTTAAGAAAGGGATGACCTTTGCCTTACAAGCACGGGACCTGGATGCAATCCTCAGGACCCAACAGGCTGCTATGGTGGCGATCTTTTACAAACCAAGTGATGATGAAGAGGAGACAGGTGGATTGGCTGGCCAGTCACCAAGTCAACTTAGCCTACTTAGTGAGTTTAAGCCTTTCTAGGAAGAAATGAAGAAAGGAAGTATAGAGTGCAGCCTTCCTGCCAGCCTGGTTGCAGAGCCGCATCAGTCCCAAATGAACACCCAGGACACTGTATTAATTATGAAGCTGCTCGCCATTTGTTTGGTTTCTTACTGGCTAGCTCTGACTTAAGTATTTAACTCATAATTGTTAATCTAAGTATTTCTCTTACCGGAGAAAAGGGTCCAGACATCTTACTCCTATGGCGGCTACATCATGACTGACTGTGTCACTCTTTCCCAGAATCCTCCTCGACTCCTAGTCCCACCTATCTTGCTTCCTTATTGGCCAACAGTGCTTTATTGACGTATACACAGGACTTCCCCATCAAGTTGTTCCTTTAGCAATCAAAAAACTGAAAAACACAATAGCATACAGTATCCAGACTCTCTGTGTATTTTCATCTTACATGGCTTATATTACTCTATTTCTTTTACTTTTATTTATTTTTTTATTTCTCTGAGATAGGGTTTCTCTGGAAATCTGCCTGCCTCTGCCTGTGGAGCAAATCCTACCGGCATGCGTGAAGTCTTCCCACCAGCCTGGTTCCAGAACTGCAAGGAAGGAAGGAAGGAAGGAAGGAAGGAAGAATGAGCAGTGCATGATGAGTTTGATACACAAAGATGAAGTTGCCCTTTGATTCCCACATACACATGCACCCTCACACAGGAACAATACACACATATACACACATGCACACCCAAAATCATAAAAATAGACACATATGTTGAGAGTTTTGTCATGGGAGAGGCGGTAGGGAGAGACTGAAACTCTTGTCTGGAAGAACAGAGCGACTCACTCCATACAGCTACACACTCCATAGAGCTCCACACACCAGTGACTCAAAGTTGATGCTTAGGGAGACGCATCTAGCTCCACCTGAGCTTTTCCACAGCTAGCATCAGCAGAAGCCAAAGTGTACGCCTTTCTTCCCTGAGTCCATATGGTTTGGAGTTATCCTAGCTAAGAGTGAACTTGACACCAGTTAACTTGAAAATATTTGGGGGGCATTTTTAGTCAGTGAGATTGCTTTGTGTGGGGATTATTCTTAAATAGCATGGTGTGATGGATTCCTTACCCTAGTTAATAAAAGACACTCTCCGGAGATGTGTTCACAAGCAAATACTTAACTTAGCTCATGTTTTTAAGAAGGTAGCCCAGGAACCTTCCTACATTAATACTCTTCATTTGCATTAACTTCTTTTAGCTGTTTTAAATACTTGTTATCCTTTTGAAGTAGCATAATGGATTAAAGCTATAATGGACATTTTCCATTCACTCATTCATTCATTAAACAGATTTTTCTTAATAATACCAAATGAATTCCTGTTCTGAACCAGTGAATCCCATGTACTAAAGGAATAATATCTTATTAAAAGAAATTTACTATTTGGTATTGGATAACCAATTGGTGTGCTCTTCCCAGGGGAAAACCATCTCCCCCATTCTCAGCATTCCTTGGTCACCTGTAGTTCTTTGTGTAGGCCTCCTGCCTCCTCCTGTAACCATGTTGGCATGTCTACTGGAAGCACCAGGTGTACCTGGTTTTATGTCTGAATTCACTTTTTCTTTTTGTTTGTCTGTAGGAATTCTGCACATGGTCCTGTAAGTCATATTCTACAGCAGTCTCAGAAAGCATCTACCATGGGGGATGGAGAGATGGCTCACTCACTGATGAAGAATGCTTGTAGTTCTTGTAGAGGACCTGAGTTCCGTTCCAAGCACCCACGTTGAATAGCTCACAATTGCCTGTAACTCCAGTTCCAGGGTGTCTGAAGTACTCTTCCAGCCTATGTGGGCATCTGCACACTGATGCTCATTAATGTACACACACATATATACACATACACATAACAAATTAATAAACTAAATCCTTGAAACACACACGCACACACACACACGCACACACACACACCTGCCTAATTGGGCTGTGAGAGACAAAAGGCTTCATCGCTCACAATTCACACTTTCATGAAGACAGGCAACCAAGTTGAACATCTTCATGACCTACTAATTAGATGTTGTTTCATTTGAGTCATCCCTAAAGGATATTGCTGTGTAGCCCGAAACATAAGCTTTCCATTGCTTTGATTCTAGGATCATCCCAGATTAAAACTCAGCTTGCCTGCATCTAGCATGTGAAATTGAGCTTCCTAGACCCCACTCCACAGCCCAGTTTTGTTTCCTCTAAGGCAAGTGAACTGGGACAAGCGACTGTACTACAGCTCTCTTTCTGGGTAGAGATTCCTGATACCTCCTTTGGAGAGTTTTGGTGAAGAATAAAAGAGATATTAGGGGTCTAATTACTGATGAAATGTTTACCTGTCATGAACAAAGCCCTAGGTTCCATCCTAGTGCCACAGACAGCCAGAAAGGTGCACAGAGATATTATATATCTCCTGTAGACCTCTGACACTTTCTGGAAGTGGGACTTTCCTTCTTTTTTCATTTTCATTTGACAAATATGATGTGGTCTTCTTCTTCTTCTTCTTCTTCTTCTTCTTCTTCTTCTTCTTCTTCTTCTTCTTCTCCTCCTCCTCCTCCTCCTCCTCCTCCTCCTCCTCCTCCTCCTTCTCCTTCTCCTTCTGCTTCTCCGTCTCCTTCTTCTGATACAACTAGCTGAGGAAAAATTACATTACTTCTCATAGCTTGCATTTCAGCTGGAAGATAAGGAGGAATCTTACTGAGTACTGCTTCCAGATATTTCTTCAAGGTGAAGAGACTCCTTGTACCTTCAGTGGGGTGCTGCATTCCAATGCAGTGTGTAACTAGGCTAATGTTGTGCAAAAAATCCATTCAGTCTTGAACTTCCCTTTATTGGTATTAACGCTGGCTCATGCTTTTGCTATGGCCATGCATTTTTCATGAGGTGTCTACTGCTTTTTCCACACTGAGAATCTACTGAGCTCTTGCCTCAGAGAAATAAGACAGGGCTTGTCATCTAGGCTATGAGCCCTAAATCCCAACAGAAACATGGAGAATAAAAAGGTTAGGGCAACTTTCGAGCTAACCCCATGTGCAAACACTGAAGAAAAGGTGTGAGGAAAGGAACAGGTCTATGTAGGCTGACTTTTACCTACAACTGTTTGCTTCTTCAGACTAAGATATTTTACTTTCTCCTCTGGGCTGCTGGGTTCACGACTAATTATTTCCATCGCACAACCTTTTAGGCTAGAAGGCAATATTTTGATTAGGTAACCTGCTGATCTTTTCCTTTAGAAAAAAAATATATATAGACTTAAAGTCGTACATGATACTGTGAATTAGAATGAAAATAAAGGGGAAAGGTGAAAATAATTTGCAGCCTACTAGGTCATTATAAATATACGCACTTACAAAAGTTATAGATGCATATGTGCATTTTTTTCAAGAAACCCATGTGGACTTTATTGAAGGGAAGGGGATGAGGAAAGGGGGGAAGGGAGAGAGAGAAAGAAGTGGAGATGTGGGATGAGGGGCGGAGAAGGGGCAAAGAGGGTGAGAGAGAGTGAACGTGGGGGTGTTTGCTTAAAACGGGAAGCTTGCCCATGGGTACTGAGTCCTTATGCAGCACCATAACATGTGATGTAGCCATGACGTGGCCTCGCAACACAGGGCCCTTTGAGCTGCCTAAGTATCTGCCTGAATGCCGATATGGGTGTCCCACCCACTGTCAGGGGGTGGGGTCAGCATAATGCCTGGTTCCAACAATTCCGCCTCTTATTATTATTTTAAGGCTGGGGAGTTAGGCGTGGCAGGTTAGGGAATAAGGGCATCGAATTCTCAAGAATGCTTCCTGCTGACCTGGGGGGCGTTGACCATCTTTGGGGGACCCAAGAAAGCTGGTATGCTGCCTCTTCCTTGGGTAGCTGGTTGTTTTATCAAAGTCCAGGCTAGTGGAACTCTCTGGTACCTCTTAGAACTGGGAAGATTCTGAAAGAGTAGAGCACAAAGTTAAGTTTAGGAAAAAACTTTTTCTTGGGTCCTGGTACTTGAGGGGAGGAGGATCATAGGATGAGGGAGGTTTTCCTGAGGGGTCCCAAGATGAGGGAAGGGAGTCCCAGGACCAGGGAAAGACTGAATGAAATTTGGAGTGAATCTGACCTGTTTGAGCAGATTCAATTTGACTTCCTGGAACTTACAAGAATCCTTTGAGTTTGTGAAAACGTAAATATTAGACACATTAGCAGGATACTCATGTCAGAAATTATTTGGTTGAAAGAATTAACATTTTTTAAAACTGACAGATATATTTAGGACAATGGAAAGCTCCTTAATTTTGGCCTTGTAGTTATACTATGGTGGTATAGTATGTTGTTTGGTATCCTGTCAGAGTTGGATTAGTAGCTTATCACAAATTTATTGATTAATGTTAAGACTATGAACAATAGCATAATGAGAGAGAAATTTGATAATTTGCATTTGTACACTTAAGTTACTTTGTTATACCTTAAAACATTTTTTAGATTTATACATCTTAAGCTTTTATGTTCTTACATAAACTTTAAACCTTAAAACATCTTTTTAAACAAAGGAATGGTAAGAAGTTCTACTGAAACCTACCAGCTGTCAAACTGCACTAGAGTTCTTGAGGACAAAATTTTACCTGAATTAATGACTAGAGAGTAACAGAGACTTGCTATCTGGCCACATGGACATCCACCTCAAAGGTCCTTTATAGTTGATGAGGGCAGAAACTTTAGGGACACCTACCTTCTGCTGATACAGTGAGGTCATAGATTAGGAGCCCTAGGAAGACTTGTCTACCATTGGCCCAAGTAACATGGAGAAAGTCGATTCCACTGTCCTCTTGTCCATGGTTAGAAGAGTCCTTTGCAGCGGTTGAGGTGAAAGGCAGGATGGTTCAGTGCCTAGCTTCTGTGGGTGGAGTTTCTTCAGTGTCCAGCAGTCTTCTTGGAGGAAATGGGGGTGGGGCCAGCAGTTGGCCTGTTTCTCTGTTATAAAAAGCAGACTTGTGGGTGGTAGATGGAGGAAACCAGGGATCCTTAGTTGGAAATGTGACCGAGTTGAAGGTTACAGGGTCCTGGCATGTCTCAGACTGCCATGGGCAGGAGCAAATGTCAGGTAAACCTGCCGAGTCACATTCACCAAAATGTTGTTCTTTTGTTTCAGTTATGAGTAGAGTAGATGGAACAGGAAACCGTGCTTCAGTCACGGGTAGATGGAAACAGGAACCTCGAGACTCAACAAACCCTTGTGGAGTTTATTGAGAGGAAAGGGAAGAAGAAGAGGGGGAAGGGGGAGAGAGAAAGAAGCAAAGAAGGGGGAGAGAGGGGGCAGAGAAGGCTAAGGGAGAGAGGGCGTATAAATGTGTTTTTGTATAAGCATACATAATTATTTTTGGAGATAGGGTCTTAATATGTACCCGTGGCTGGCTTGGAACTCCCCTGTGTAGACCAGCTTAGTCTTGAGCTCACAGAGATCTGCTTGCCTCTGCCTTCGGGATTCTGGGATTAAAGCTGTGCACACCATGGCTGGACATATATTTATGATGGGCATCAAACTAAGGTCCTGGTGCACACTGGATAACTGCCCTCCTACTGAGCTACATCCATAGTCCATTAACACTGGAAAGCACTGCTCTGAATTTCCCCCCACTATTCGCTGATATGATGCATTGTAGAGGAAAACTGCCCATATGGGCTTATTTTTGAAAGTTCTTTGAAATATAGTTATCTATTTTTCCCCCTCAATATATGTTGTTATTTAAATTAGAAACATGAATGCTTCACATGTCAATCCCAGCTCTCTCTCCCACCCCTCCTCCCTTGTCCCTCTACCGGAACCCCCCCAGCCTCCCACCCAATCCCCACATCATTCCCCAGTGAGGGTGAGGCCCTCCTTGGGGGGATCTCAAGAGTCTCATTTCATCCAGGGCAGGCCCTAGGTTCTCCCCCATGTGTCCAGGCTGAGAGAGCATCTCTCCATGTGGAATGGGCTCCCAAAGTGCATTCATAAACCATGGTAAATACTAATGTACTACCCCAGGCCCCAGAGATTTCTGAGGCCTCCTCACTGACGCTATATTTGTGGCATCTGGATCAGTCCCATATTGGCCTCTCAGCCATCAGTCTGGGATTCAAGAGCTCCCACTTGTCCAGTCAGCTGTCTCTGTGGGTTTTACCAGAATGGTCTTGACCCCTTTGATCATTACTCCTCCATCTCTGTCACTGGGTTTCAGGAGTTCAGTTCAGTGTTTAGCTGTGGGTATCTGTCTCTGCTTCCATCAGTCACTGGATGAAGGTTCTAGGATGGCATATAAGGTAGTCATTAACCCTATCATCAAGGAGGGGCTATTAATGTAGTCTCTCCACTATTGCTTAGTTTGCCAGTTGGTGTTATCCTTGTGGATCTCTGGAGATCTCACTAGTGTCAGCTCTCTCCTCAGACCTATAGTCTCCCTCTATTATGGTATCTCTCATCCTGCTCTCCTCTATTCTTACCCCAACTCAACCTTCCTGCTCCCCCATGCCTTCTTCTCCCCTCCACTTCCCCCCCCACTATTTTCCTTGTTCCCTCTCCCCTCCCCCTATGCTCCCAATCTGCTCAGGAGATCTTGGCTCATTACACTTCTCTGGGGTATCATGCGTCTCTCTTGGGAACCTCCCTATTTCCCCCGACTCACTGGCCATGGGATTGTAGGCTGACACTCCCCTGATCCATATCTAAAATCCATATATGAGTGAGTACATATCATGTTTGTCTTTTTGTGACTGGGTTACCTCACTTAGGATGGTTTCTTCTAGTGCCATCCATTTGCCTGCAAATTTCAAGATTCCATTATTTATTTTTCCACTGAGTAGTACTGCATTGTGTAAATGTACCACATTTTCTCTATCCACTCTTCAGTTTTGGGGCATCTAGGTTGCTTCCAGGATCTAGCTGTTACATATAATGCATTACATATAAGGGTTCATAATAGTGGGAGTGCTATAGATAGTTTATACGCTGCTTTAAGAGATGACTGAGTGCACTCTGAGCATCCCATCCAGATGGGATTCAGTCTGCCCAGAGACTGCCAGCACCATATTCCCTTTCTCCATCCAAGGGACTAGGTAGGCCTCAGCTTGTCTCAGGCCTGCCTTCCAGTGCCCTGAGGGCAACCAGCTGTGACATTGCGACTCCACACTGGAGTCAGCCTGCCCAGAGACTGCCAGAGTCCAAGTCCCATTTTCCACCACAGGTGAGGAAAGCATGGGCCTGTTTCCGGCCTGCCTTCTGGTGCTCTGAGCAGAACCACCAGAGACCTGGGAACTGGGCACTGCAGATCCCATTCTAGCAGGTAGGTCAAGCCTACCCAAAGTCTGTCAAGGCTCTGGTACTAGAACCACCTCTATCCATGAAAGAGGAGAGCCTCCAGAGTATTGGAACTGCTTACACCCACCAGGAGAGGGAGAGTCTCCTTCTGCACCCACTGGAAGAAGTGATGGGAAGGACACAAAATAAAAACACACCCAGCAACAGAAAAACTAATATGATACTGCCAGAGTCTA